TTCCCTCTAGTCTTACACTGCTAAATTAGGGACGGCTAGCGCAGATAGCCCTCGTGTAGCTTTGCGCAAAAATTCAAAAACAAACAAACAAACTCTTTTGTTCGAAAAAATGTTTTCAAAAATCAGTTGGGATTTTAACACAATTACACGGACCAGACGTAGCCAAGGGGTTAGCGTGTCGGATTGCGGAGTGTAAGATCCAAAGCTAGAGACATGATGATCTTTGAATGTGCAGGATCCACACTTTCAGCTGAGATAAAGTGGCAGTCAATTCCATTATTCTGTCCACAAAGCCGGATAAGATCTCTTTTGGTGATAAGTATTTTTAAGGAACATCCTTCTAGTTAGTTGTTCAAAATTATTAATTTTTCTTTGGCAGCAGTATTTACGTACGTTACCTCTTTGAGTTCTAACCTGTGCCAAAGTCAGGACTTTTTTTTTATAATACGAGAAAAAATGTTTTAAAGTCAGAGAAGAAAGCTTGACTTAAAAAAAACAACAACAACCTCATTTAAACTTCTCGAAGGGGTGAGAACTCGTGCCAATAACCCCCATATCTTCTTCCTCCGACTATGTCTATAGCTCCAACGAACAATCTTACCCATTAACATCATATTTTGTGGAGATAATTGAACAGCTTTGTTCCAGCTAAGTTTGTGTGGATCGGTGAAGCCCTCTTTGTCTTGAAGTTACGTTTCTATTATTTTAATCACGGATAAATATAGAATCTTAGTATTGTATAAGTTAGCCCACTCACTGCCCAGCATGCCTTTCATTCATTACTAGAGTTCATCAGCAGGACAGCTTAAACTATCGTATTGTATGTACATGCAGTAGATAAAACCTATCGGACAAATGAAAAAACATTTTTTTTTTGTCAGTGACTTTTTAAAATGTCACAAATAAGAGAATGAAATCACAGCGTTTAGATTTGCTGTTAAATCATTAACTTTGATTGTAAACCGAGATCTATAGCTGGGTACTCTCGTCACCAACGAACAAAACACGCAGAAATTTTTCTTGCCTATGTTTTATGTATATTAGATGCAGAGTAAATATAATAATATGGTTGGTTCATCATGCTATTGTTAGTCAGTTCATTGTGCTCGACAAATGTGGCTTCTGTCAATTAAAACGAAATTTTCTGAATTACAGAAAAAAAAGTGACAGTTAAAAATAAGGAATATTTAACTACAGTTCAGCTTCAAAAGTTTGCGTTAATATAATTTCAACTGCATTCATATGTTACATAAATAAAATAACACGTATAAAAAATGTACTTACAGATGTAGGCAATGTAGATAACTGATAAATTAATCAACTTTCGTATCATTTAAATTATCTGCTTGCAACGTCGACAACTCGTGCCCTCTAGAAACCACGTCTATTCGTTTTATAGATACGATATCTAATAACTAAAGTCGAAAACTTGTTCGATGACTCTTGGCAAGTTGCCAGAAAAAAAATGTAGTATCCTGTCACGAAATGAATTTATTGTATCCTTTTAACAAAACACCTGTCAATATTAAGTGTTATTACATTTCAACACTATACTTGTACTTACAATAGAATGGTTTTACCCCGATTAAAGTATGTTTTATTTAAATAGTTATTAGGGATATTTGGTACGTCTGTATGCCGGAAGTTACGCACCTGCGTGTCGATTACCTAGAAATATATTCCGAATTCTGACGATGGAAAATTACAAAATTCTATAAGATTACAGCAAGTTATTCGGCCAACAAATACAAACGGAAAGACTAGCCATTCATAAACGTGGTGTTGCGTCAGCGAGGTCACGTGACTAGTATCACGCCACGTTTTCTAGAAATATCCTGTTCCTTCAAGAATGCCCTAGAA